TTTCTTGCTATTTTGAACTATAGAAAGAAACTTATGATGAACACAATGTCCAGACGCATCCACCTGGTTTTCATGTCATCTTTCTGCCATTTGCCGATGATATGAGGAAACTTAATTACCCTGAAACAGCCAAAGGTAAAAATGACTTGCAAATTCAAAAGCTGAGTTTCTCTTAAAAGGTTTGAGACCATCTATCTTTCCTTCACAATATTATACTTCATATTTAAACAAAGCACTATAACTTTCTTTCATTTATATATCGTTCTATCATAGTGCCATGCGGTCCTCATATTCATATATCTAAACAATAGTCTACTATCACAGCATTTTGCTGTGATAGTTGCCCACAGAAAAACAAACAGTTGCCAGATCACACAGTTTTTGTAATTGACTGACGGTATAATTCAACAGCAAAATTTTCTGTCAGGGCTCAATGCACACATAGTACCCCTCCGACGCAGGCAGTATCACATCATGTGGTTGGCTTTTGACCAATGAGAGTAGAGGGAAATTTGTTGTTGAATTTTAACATTTTATTTTTATTTATTTTTTTCTTTCTCTAGCTACCAATAAACAAATAAGCAAAGCAAAAGATATAATCAAGAAACTTACTTTTACTTTTGATGCATCAAGTTTTGAAAATCCATGTAAGTTAATAAATAATAATTACAATGAAAGAAAATGAAAAACGTAGTATTCATGTTTCTGGGACTTCTGGAGCATGTTCCAGAGTAAAATCGCTGAAAATCATACCTTGTTTGTTTAGTAATATAAGTGATTAATCCACTTTTTGAATTATTATTTCTGGGAGGTATTGTACTTTATATTAAAGTATGATGAATTTGTCTTTTTTTATAATTATGATTATTTTTCATCTTAGCCTCATTACTAGTTTATTAAATTAATGTGTATTGTTATGGCATTTGTTGACAGCTTTGCAGAAGCATTATCGTCACCTTGAAGGGCTGGCTTTGGACAGAGATGCACCAGACGACTTCACTGATCTAACAGGTTCGCAATATAATTGTCCAAAATACCACAAACAATATATAACAAACCTCTCGAGCACTTTGCCGTTAGCTATTTGTATTACATACGTGTACTCACAACCTTGAAAATGGCCGCTTAGGCCAGGAGTGATGTGTGCTAAAATACTTAATGTAGAGGTAGTGAGTGTGAGAGTACAGG